TAGATTATCGAGCCGGCGCATGCATTTATCATTCATCAGCTCATTTGACTGAAAATACGAATACAAATGGATGTTTATGGCAAGATTAAGATTTATAAAAGGTATCTAGTAAGGCTTAATTCGAACAGAAAAGTTCTCAATCTAGATATGGAACTTTCATTTAATGTAAAGCATTGAATTTTAAAATTCGATCCAGGTCACAAAATTTGTAAAAATATGAAAACAGTAAAGGACTTAAGTAGGAGACAACAGTAAATGGAAGAAATTGACGACGAAACTATTATTCAATAGAACAAGTCAATAAAATAATCACAATTACAGAGGATGGAAAATTTATTAGCATGAAAAAGTTGGTTGAATACAAAATGAGCAAGCAGGCCCCCTGCTACATCATAGTATGAAATGATCAAAGGCCTTTTATATTATTTAGAAAAAAATTTTATCAAATGAAACTATTTTAATTGTTAAAATTTTGCTAAAGATTTGTTGGAGTAAATGATAAACAATCATACATTTAATAAGAATTTTATTTACTTAACGGTCGTGTAAGGCGATGAAAGAACTAATAGATGAATGTGCCAAGTTGAATAAGCAGGCTTCATGTAGCCGTTAAATTTCACAGCCATGCCTCTCAGACAGCCTTCTAATCTAGGGTGGACCGCCATTTAGATCCATTTAGATCTCATCAGCTTTGATCGAAGCAGTCGTATTAGACAAAATTTGAAGACTCAAATACACCTGAGAATAGAACATTAGTGACAATAGTGTAGAAGTGTAGATTCTTTTGGTCAATTCCTCTATAATAGTGTCATATATTTTAATGTTGAAGCCGAGATAATATATCTATATGCAAGAATGTCAGGTATATGTGTAAAGACATTTCCTCAAATTCGTCAGGAATACGTTATAAGATTTTAGCTTCGCTGACATTCATTATCGGTTCAGATAACAGTTTAGTATGAAATAAGCTACGTACATGTCAAATACGATAATTGAATGGCATATGGAATATTGAAATACCCTGTGCACAGACCTGAACAAATATGCAGATTCATATTAATGAAAAAGCAGAGAACTGACCATCCTAAGAAGGAGTTTCAGCTGGCTGCTGGATAGATTAAGCATACTGACAAACTCGACTGGCCCCTTGCTTCGGCGACCATCACAAATTGGCGCATTCTCACCCGAGGTCTCTGTGGATCGTATACCAGCTAGATCCGGTAGGACACGATGGATAGCAGTGCAGCGGGCACTCGGCCCGGATGGATCCTGGTCAAGCACGCTACGATGCGGCAGGCGGCTGCCAAAGACCGAGGCAACTCGGGAGAATAAATACTCACTCCCAGTTTCTTCGAACCATGTGTCGCTGGGTGACCAACTAGCCTTTCCAGGACCTAAGTGAAGATATGAGGTGGTTAATTTAGGCAGGAAAAGTAATAAAATGAACTTTGAATAATCTTTCAAGCAAGCGAGCTCTTATAATATTATACAGTCCTGTAAGAAAATGTTACTTTGGGATTTAACGAAAGTCCGATCACGAGAAACCTTGACGATGGCGTATGCCTAGCATATAAACGAATATTCAGAAAATTTAGACAGGTCTTCGAGTTAATGGGTGAATCCCAAAAGCTCAAAACAGGTAGTAGGGATTCAGGATAAAGCAAATAAATTAGAAAATGAGTAGAAACGAATGGCTTCAAAATATGAAGCAAAAAATAAAAATAAAGCTTTAGCCGATAATTCAAGGGAATAGGTAGGTTTATTATTGTCACCCTATTACTGAAATAATATCGGATGAATCAATAGTATTTGTTGGAGCAAATAGGGCTGTTACAAGGCTCCATGAGTCTACAAATTTTCGCTTAAATCAGAACCTCCAAAAAGGTATTAAAAATGTAGATGATAATGTTCACAGTTGCAGTGGTAAAATCATAG